GAAAGGGGGTGGGGAATAAAAGTAAATGTGAACCAAACCATGAGTCTTTGAGATATTAACTCTTTGATGAGATGCAATGTTAAGAGCAGCAGAAGTCCAGTGATTGGCTAAGAGATGCTAGCAGCAATTATTGGTGCCTTCCCCTGTTTGTATTGCTGAATGAATCAGACTGCTGGCCAGTCAGATACTAATTTGAGTTCTTGAAGTATATTGTTAAGCACGTGAAGAAACATTAGGAAGGTACTTTAATGCATTCCCATTTTAGTACATCAGTCCCCAGAATGGGGAATGTAGAAACTTGAAATTGGCACGTGAATTAATATTCTTTCAATTTCCTGATAGTTTTGGCTGTGATCTTGGGAAACTGTCATATGGGCAGAAGAAAGTAAAGCAGAGCAGAGGGCATTTTCTACATTTTGAAAAAAAAAAGTATTTCTCTGGAAGAAGGACTTGAACCTAAATCTCTGGGGAGCTGACTCAAGGAGCATTGTATGCCACTCACAGTCAGGATGCTAATAAAAGATGGCCCCTTTCATTCATGAACAAGCTTGCAGCGGTATTAAGTAAGAAGGAGTGCTGTGGGAAAGTTGTTTGTGAACTTTATGTGTAATAAAAATTCTTTTTATGATTTAGAAGTTTCTTTTCCATTTTTAACATTCAAACTAAGCGTGGCCATTTTTAGATTAGTAATTGGAGAAGCTGCTTCTTGTTTTCTCATTGGAATCTGCATCCTGTGTCATTATAACTTCCCAAGGTTGGAGTGCAAAGTATTAAAACTGAAAGGAAGAGACACACATATAAGGGGGTCAAGGGGGAGCGGGCCTATTTGATAACACATTGTAAGATGACAGATACAATTTTATAAAAAAGAATTAGGATTAATCTTTCCCATTCTCTTGTTAAAACTGTATTCTACTAATGTTGCTCCTTTATAGTCAAAAGTACATTTTACTGAGTTCAGAAGGAAAATATACAGATTTCAGTGTCAGTTCTCAGTGACTACTGGTGAGTTATTACTGAATAACTTACTGATTCTTGAGCAGTGGGTTTTGGAATAAAGATTGTGCCATAGTCCTGGCACATTTATACGCCTTGCTCATTTCAATGTGTTAAGAATATATAGAATAGCCACTGACCAAAAGAGGAGATTTAATGACAACGTTCATCAATTCTTCGATGAGAAGAATTTCCCCTGAAAGAAGAAGATGAAAACATTTATTTAATATATTTAGATGGGCTAAGTAAAAAGGGATGTGCGGTGGCTCAGTGGCTAAGACACTGAGCTTGTTGATCAGAAAGGTTGGCAGTTTGGTGGTTCGAATCCCTAGCGCCACATAATGGAGTGAGCTCCTGTTACTTGTCCCAGCTTCTGCCAACCTAGCCGTTCAAAAGCACATAAAAATGCAAGTAGAAAAACAGGGACCGCCTTTGGTGGGAAAGTAACTGCATTCCATGCGCCACTTAGTCATGCCGGCCACATGACCATGAAGACATCTTCAGACAGCACTGGCTCTTCAGTTTTGAAACGGAGATGAGCACCACCCCCTAGAGTCAGGAACGACTAGCACATATGTTTGAGGGGAACCTTTACTTTTACCTTAAGTAATATTGGAAATTATTAATTAAAATCTGTTTCAATAGAAATTTGAAAGGAGTCGTGTCTGTTACTATCCACAGCAGTAGAAGTTAAAATGTCTTTGGTATCTTTAAAAAAACAACATTTATTTATTAATGGATCATTGGTTTTATTTATTATTTATTAAAAAATAATTATATTGACACCCAATTCCGAGCAACTTCTAAAAATAAAACCCCAATACGAAAACCAAAATCTCCCCTTTTATACAGGTTTTGCTCAACCGGGTGGATAAAGAGAAAAGAAATATTCTCAGATGCATATTTGATATTTCCATACATCAAGGGAGATAGATATAAGTATATAAAAGCACCATTTAAAGTTTTTAAAAAATATATGGCAAGTTTCATTGCTTAAGCGTCTTTACGTGCTCATGAAATAAATGTAAAGTACTCATAATTTTTCTTCCTGAATATTACATAAAGATTATAACCCAATTAGTTCTAATAATAGTTTGTGGATGTTGAGAGCCATAGTTTCTAAGGTGGAGATGGCAGTTATGTCAACAATATTAATCATCTAGCTTCAAAGCTAAGTAAGTACAGGGCAAAAAAAACCCACTAAACAATAGGAGGGCTAAGAGAAAGAATTATTGGAATTAAATTATAGTGTGTATAAAAAGAGAATTGTACCTTCATCTTGACAAAGGACAATGAATTGTTTAAGTGTCTTCTTGTAGTATCCAAGTAAAAAATTCCTAGCTAGACATGCCATAAAGGCTGAGTCTGGGCCAAGAGCCCAGTTAAGCCATACTGACTAAAGCATGCAGGAAATTCTAGGAAGACATACCAGTCAACCTAACATGCAATATGTGTGCCAGTTTTAAATACTAGATAACTAAGTGTTAAATGAGAATAATATGCCATAAAATAATTATGGTACATGGATGTTTTTATTTGTGTGAAGTTATATTCTGAAATTTTTAAGTCAGGTTATTCCAGTGGTGGGAGTCAAATAATTTAACAACTGGTTCTCTGCCCTAATGATTTCTTCCAACAACCAGTTCACCAAACTGCTCAGAAAGTTACCAACCGGTTCTCCCGAAGTGGTGCGAACTGGCTGAGTCCCACCACTGGGTTATTCCTTTTGCTGTGTTTCTTCCTGAAAATATGAGGAGAAAAAGCAGCTTGTCAAACTGTTTCACTAAAACAGAAAGCTCCCAATTTCAGTCCACACAAGAATCAGATCAATGGCTGTACGCTAAAAATAGATGAGACAGGTCTTGGGCCTTAAGTGGACATAAGGCCCGAATTCATTACGATGATAATAGGAATGCTCTGGAGGCCCAGAAGAGATGCTGAGGACCTACATGTGGTTCTGATGCTATACCATTTCAATCCTGATCTAAAGTCAATTTGCCTGCCTGAATATGATTTTCACAAACTTGATGGGATTTAATCCACCAATTGCAGCAATCATGCAAATGGGTTTTTCCTAACAATAAAATAGCTATCTTTCTTAAATTCTCTTGAAAACATATCATTTTCCCATGTAAATATAGTATATGCTACATTGTATAGTATGAAAACAATATCCTTCTCTTTCTAAAATATTTGCTCCTTTGTGCTCTATGATTCTCAGCCCCCGATTCCCTCCCCACTCCAATTTTCATTTTCTTTATTATTTCTTGCACTTTTTTTTCTTTTTTTTCTTTTTTCTTTTTGTAAAATGTGTTTTTTATTTTCCATTTTTCGTTTTCATACAGTCACATATATACTGTGCATAACCGGGGCCATACAACATTAAACAATAAACACAGCAATTCCTCTTGTCAACAATACCCCCCAAAATAGAAACCCAATATACCTCTTCGACCCTCCATACACCTCTTTCTTTCGCCCCCCTCCAACTTTCCATCTTCCCTCCATCATTCCCCTCTACCCTACTTCCCCTCCCCCTCTACCACTCCTCTCTCCCAGTCCACTCCCTCCCTTCCTTCTCACCCTCCCTCCAATCCTCTCTCCCGCCCTCTCTACCCCTCTTTCTTCTATCCCGCTACTCCTCCCTTTGGTGTATTTCTACTATATGTCAATATATTCAGCTTGTCCTATTTTTACAGTGAAAATAAAGAGAAACAGTATACATGTGAAATCGCATTGCATTGAAATCTAACACATACTATTTATCCCCCCTCCCCCCTAACACCCCCCCTCCCTTCCCCCCCACCTTCCCAGAGCCCGTACATGGTATAGATTTTTAACAAACACAGTCTAAAATATATTAAGACAAAAGAAATAAAAAAAGAAGTTAATAACATCTCTACATTGAACTCAGCTTCTTCCTGTTGCACTAACTTTGAGCAGTTTAGATTATTCCTGATCTTAAGCATAGGCTATCTGGAATTTCTTAGTCCCGTATTTGTTTTGTATATAGTCAATCCATTTTTTCCAGTCTCGTTTATATCTCTCATTCGAATGATCTTTAAGATATGCCGATATTTTAACCATCTCGGCTAGGTTTGTAACTTTCAATGTCCATTCTTGAGTTGTAGGCAAGTCTTCCTTCTTCCAGTATTGCGCCACCAACAGTCTTGCTGCCGTTATTAGGTGCAGAACCAAATTAGTCTCTACCACTGTAAAGTCAGTACATATACCTTTTTTTTCTTTTTACAACCCTTTAATCCCTTTATTTGGGGTGGAGTTGTGGCAACTGAATGGAGCTGAGCATTTTACTGGCCAGGTATCCTTCCTGATGCCTATGCCAAGTTTGCACCAGATATTTTCTCTTTGTGCCCTGATAAAGAAACATCTGCCACTCCCTAGAACTGAACTCTCAATCTTCTGAGTTGGAGGCAAGCATCTTCACCTCTAGGCCACCACACTGCTTTTATTATTTCCTATTCTAATAGCTGCAAAAAAAATCTATCTCAATCTCCCGGACATCTTTTTTTCAATACACTTCCGAAGATATCTGCTCACTAAAAAACAATTTACCATTAGTTACATTTGAGCCAAATAGCATCCTTAAGGCAAGAATGATTGTTCTTATTATTTAAACTTTCTAGGAGGAAAAAAATGAATGGCAAAGATCTTTTTAAAAATTGCTCCACATTGTGATCCAAAATTAGGATATGATTTAATTTTATTTTTTACTTCTATCTTTAGCAAAGACGTGTAAATAATAAAGTTGGTGTTCTGTGTTCTATAACTTTCAGAAGTTTTTGCATGACAATTAACTAAATTAAAATACTTGATTAATAATAATAATAATAATCTGTAAATGTAGAGTTATACTTGTTCGTGTAGATTTCTGATGAGTATTGTTGAGTTGGAAATTAATATCCTATTAAGTTTTGTTCTGAAAAGAGTAATTGAATCTTTTTACAAGAGTTCCTTATGGGAAACCATTGTGTCTCTTATTTAAGCAGAAAAGAGGAGCAGAATTAAACTAGAAAGTGCACATCCAATTGCAGCCAATAAAACCTTTCCTCCAGTCCTTCTGAAAGGCTTAAGTGATCTTAAGGTAATGGATGGAAGCCAAGTGATTATGACAGTAGAAGTTTCAGGTAAATATTTGTGTTTTCTAGTGGGATACTTGGGAGAAAGGCAATATAGAAATAGATCTAAATAAGAAATAATAAACTGTTCAGAATTTTAACAGGGGTATTATTCTGTTTTGCAATCAAGCAGTATTTTTTGCCTTTAGTTCATATTTATCCCCTTTTCTAACTTTTTATCATTAGGGATAATGGGAAACCAATGGAATCTAAAGTAAATACATGGCTCTACTGTCATTGTAGAATAAAGAAGTGCTTGAAATTTGAAGAAAGGAAGTTAAAAGCAATCCATGGCTAAAATGCTAGAATGTTTTCATGCAACTTTAAAACGATGGCCTTCTTTTTATGGAATATGCTATGTTAACTTTAATATGTTATTTTGGCTTTGTTGTAGCTTGGCCAGACCCTGTTGGGTTAGGCTATAAAACTAGTACAAACGAATAAATAGAACCCTTTTTCTTTTAGATCAGGGATCCTCAAACTTTTTTAAACGGGCCAATTCATGGTCCTCAGACTGTTGGAGGGCTGGACCAGCTGAGTGGGCATGGCTAGGTGGTCATGCAACTGGGTGGGCATGGCTAAATGGTCACGTGACTGGTGGACGTGGCCAATTTAGCAGTCCATTTTGCCTTTATCCTTGCTGTACTTGCTCCTCCCCTACTCACCCACTGGCCCTGGATCATATGGCTATGAAAAACATCCTGAAAGGCTGTTTTTAAAGCATTTTTAAAGACTTTTAAAGCACTATTTTACAAGCTGGCAGCAGAGGTGCTTTTCAAGCCAACAACAGCCCCTCCCCTACTCACCCACCGGCCCTGGATCATGTGGCTGCACTGGTGAGATCACCCCTCAGTCAGCTTGTCCTTCCTTCGGCCTTTCCTGTGGCAGCAGCAATGTGATCAGAAGTGCAGCTCAACCGGTGAAATACATAAGCAGAAGTGCAGGTTGAGTGGATGCTCGCTGGAAGATAAGGCCAATGGGGGGGGGGGGACTAAATCCCACTCCACCAGCCGGATACTTTGCATTGGTGGGCTGTATCTGGCCTGTGGGCCATAGTTTGAGGATCGGTTTCCTAGATCTATGGAAGAGTGAGAAATGATTTATGAAAACTCAGTTTTTCTATTAAATAATAGCATTATATGGGGTGCAAAACAATAAAACACACTATGAGAAAAGTGCCTAAGAGCACATGTGAAGAAACTATTATTTCTATTTTTGCAAAAGACATTTTCAGAAGATTAGAAAAAAGGATGGGGAAGACAGTTCTACTAATTCTGGAACATAATATGTATGTTTGAACACATATTTTGTTCTTGATAGGAAGCCATAAAATAATAGTTGATCAGACACAGGTGCATTAATGTGACTAAATCCAAATAATTGATCTGTGTGTGCATGCATGTACTGTATGTGCAGATAAGAATTCACTAACATATATGTATTCTACATTATACCCCTGTATTTTACTCAGAATACATCTTTTTAACATTGTTATGGCAGCAGGAAGTCCATGTGTGTTTCTTGTTCTGCCTTATCTTATAGTTGCAGTTGGCCTAATAGAATAGTTCATAGACTTCCCCTGCTGCCTTTGTTTTATCTCAAAGACTTCTGTTTTGTTTTGTGGCTCAGCTAATCCACCTCCTGAAATAATTTGGCTTCACAATGGTAAAGAAATCCAGGAAACAGAGGATTTTCACTTTGAGAAGAAGGGCAGTGTGTATCGCCTCTGTATCCAAGAGGTATTTCCTGAGGACACAGGAGAATACACCTGTGAGGCCTGGAATGACTTGGGAGGAATTCATACTGAAGCAACCCTGACTGTACAAGGTAAAGTTTTTATGTCTATATGCCGACAGGTATATGCATGCGCACAAACATATACTTTCTGTTATACTTTAACAGATACACAGGAAAGTATTCAAAAAGTTGAGAACCTCCTTGTTTCTCTGAAACTCCATAGTTTCCCTTTATATACAATTTTAATGGATATTTGGCCCTATCCTTCATTCTGCTTCACTAGGAAGAATGTACTCTAATTTCTATAACCAGAAAAGAAAGTATTAAATGAGAATACATACATTTCTAAAAAGTTGTAATGTGTTTCTGTAGATGGTAGAAGCGTAGGGATGTGACTATTTGATTGAATAGCTAATTCAGAAACTTGGTTATGAATACCACATTTTAAGTTCAAGTTACAATTAGTATATTTCTATCAATTGTTTTCTCTTTATGGGCGAAATAATGGTGTGTGTGTGTGTATGTGTGTGTGTGTAATTATAAGCAATTACATTTATTTGCTCAAGCATCTGATGGAATTGAATATTTAAAGATAAAAATTATGTGTATTAATTACCAAAATAGCAAAAATATACTCCCATGTGCTTAATGACCTAATTTGGACATTTCATGTGTTTAGAAAACTATAGGCCATAACATAATAGCTTAGAGTAATCTAAACAAGCAAAGAAGGAGGAAGCCCATATGTTGCATGCATGGACACAGACTTAGCGTCTGTCGGCAATTCCAGAAAGCAAATATGTCTTTTCCCAGAATTGCACTGTAGCAGTTCTGGGAAAAGTTGCTTCCGCTGCTACTTTAAAGGATTACCAGAAGGTGCTGTACAGGTGGCCCCTGAAACACCATTTTTACTCTTCGGATCTGAAGTAATGCATGGGCCTATTCATGGTGCAGCCCTTTCAAAAAGATCCTTAAGGTTACAATAAGCCCATGGTACTAAAGCTAAAGGAAGTGCAGACCAGCCGTTGTGGGTATAGTGAATGATGGTAGTGCATTTTTGTGAAGAGAATAAAGCAAAGCGCATAATGAAAGCAAATGTTATTTAGCCAAAATGAGACACCCAGCTGCATGAATATGCTTGTGGGTCAAGTGAAAGGTATACACAAATGCTTTATTTGAGCATGCATCCATGTATATTATGTATTAGGGCAGGGATGGGAAACATCTATTGAATTATTTTATCAAGGTCCAATTCTTTTAAGGAATACTCTACCATGGCTCGCATACAAGAGAATAACACTCAGTTAAGGTCCCTTGCTGACTCAATTTTATTTAATAATATATTATTGTAAATTTCACATCAGAATTTTAGGATGCCAGATACTGATTTTTTGGGACATTACAAGCCTTCATTTTCCAATTTTTCATTTGTCTAGGTATTTAAAACAACCATGGACTATATTTATCTTTCTTCAGTTTATTTACTTAAACATTCTCTCCAGCCCACAGCAGACCAGAGGTTTTTTTTTTTTAAGAAGTACACAAAGTACCATCTGGGTTGTTGCTTTTTGTTTTAAAGACTTCAGATTTTTGGAAGCAAAAGAAACACAGAGATCCTCCGGGAAACTTTTTATAAAGTCAAACACATTTGAAATGACTGAGCTATCATCTCTTTACCCTAAAGAAAATAATGTATTCACTTGCCTTTTTTCAAAATCTTTCCTTCTATATTTATAGATTACCTTATTTGTTTGGTTTTTTCCCCCTTTTCTTTGAACCGATTGTAATCACATTAGACATGCTGTTGCTGTAGCTATTATGGAAACTTTTGTTACTGCAAACACTTAACTATTCAGATAGAAATTATTTGAGGTATTATTAGCTTCCCCAGGAAAGAGATGGATGGATATGTACATAGCATGCAAGTTTTCTGCATGTTGTGCAAAGTGACTTATGATAAAGTCTGAATTTAAACTTTTTGTATTCTGAAGAGTGACCTACTAATTCACAATGAAAAAAAAAAGAGAAAGAAAACTTAAAATGAAGTAACTTACTGCATATTTCAGAACATAGCATTTTATAAGTTTCTTTGCACTTTCACAAATGGCTGCTGTGATAGGCATGGCCATTAAGGAAAGTATCTGGGGGTACATGTTGACTATTTTTGCTATGTAGAGAATGCCAAAGATTATTCCTTCTGCTGCTGCACTAGCCAGAATATTGTGAGGAGGTTCTCAATTCAGAATATACATCCAAAGCAAAATATCCATAAAATGGTTTGTCAAAAGCTAAATGAAATTCAGCACAAGTGATTCCACCAGTGCTATTAGATTTTCTCCCTGCCTGTCTTAAACATTTTTTCTTTGGGTTGCAGAACCTCAAGATGGTATTCAGCCATGGTTTATTAGCAAACCACAGTCAGTGAGAGCAGTAGTGGGGCAGAACATCATTATTTCTTGTGCCATTGCTGGAGATCCATTCCCCACAGTTCATTGGCTCAAAGATGGAGAGGAACTAACAACAGAAGCAGGCTATGAATTCCTACAAAATGAAGACATCTTTACCTTGATTATAAGGAATATTGAACCTTGTCATGCTGGCCAGTATGAAATACAACTCAGGTGTGTCAAGGGAAGTATATATTTATAGGAGGAAGAGCTCTTTCTGTTGTCTAAACATGAATGATAAGGCATTTTATTTCTATTGGCCTTTGCTTTCAAACAAGTGGGTTCATTATATATTGCCTATGGGTTTCTAAGATATCAGTGCCTACATTAGTTGCCATATAGATTTCACATTAAACTGTTGAAACAGTCAATATTCTCCTCACTCCAAACAGTTGCTCTCCTGGCCTATTCTTAGTTTCTTTATTAATTTGCTTACCTTTAATAATTTTTTTTAACATTCAATCTGCAATTCATATGTGATCCTATGTGTTTATTTATTCTTCCTTTTCTCATAAAGCAGTCAATTGGGCAGCACTCAGGAAAATCAAAGGCTTGCATTCAAATGGATGCTTTCAGTCATAGATGCAACTCAAATCTTGAAGGAAACAGGCACGCCTAGAAGATTCTAGAGTGAAGGGCCCACAACCAAGCAATCCTTCTCTCAAGAAAATGCTTTGAAACATTGTCCATTGGAGACAATTGTGATACACAAAATATCATATTTGAACAAAATATGATAGAAATATGGTCAACTTGTAATGGATGGACGTAATTTTTCAGAATTTTTTTTTGAATGTTTTGATTTTTCTACATTTTTGCTAGAACAGCTTTGGTATTTCTACCATCGGAACCGTGGGATTCAGAATTCGAACTGCAAAAAATCTGGACCAGCCAAAAGTCACACATGGGTAGTCTGTTTGCTATCCCCTCACTGACTGGCTGGAGGCCTGTAAGGTAACCTTAACTGTCACTTAGTACCTAGAACTTGGAGGTGTTGAAACAGAAAAGAGTGAGAGCACAGAAGTGCCTTACCAAGTCTTGCAGCTAGCTAGGAACATTCTCCCTTTTCTCCAGTATTTAAAGGTTTCCTTTCCCCCCACTGGTTAAAAACACATTTTTTTTAATCTGGTAATTAAAACTTTTTTTTTAATCTGATAGAACAAGCATTAGTCAAAGAAAAACAAAAGAGGGATTTCTATACACACACACACACACACAGAGAGAGAGAGAGAGAGAGAGAGAGAGAGAGAGAGAGAGAGCACCCTCCCTGGCTACTCTCATTTGCATCTGAAATAGATATTCTCAGTAGCATTCAGAACAAAAGAATAGCCAAGAGTCATAATTCCTGCATATATCCTTGCTCAGCAAAACCTCTTTTGTTTTCAGACTTAAGACACTAAAAGCCAAAACTGTAACAAACATGTCAAATCAACTATTTGAAACTGGCTTTTATAAGCCATACTACGGATTTCATCAACCTTGTGCCACCGCTTGGACAGAGTTAATACATATTTAAGCTAAATAGCCAACCAGCAGAGAGTCTTTTTATATTCTTAAGTGCACTTTGAAGTCTCCATAAACAAAAAGGGCATGAGAGAATGTAGGGGGCAGAATGGGCAGAGAACAAATAAAGACTGAACACCAAACTTAAAAACAAAACAAAAAAAACAAGAGCCCGAATTACTCTTTGCTTTTCAAATGTACTCCAAGTCAAAAACTGCAAAATGAGTTGACCAGGTTAAATAAGCCACTAATGTAGACATTTTGAAAAGCAGTCAGCCAAATTCTGTTGATGATGGCTTGCTGAGTTTAGCTGCTCATGTATTGTGCTCACTCTTTTGTCCTATTTTATGGAGCTTGCAGGGTCCCTTTGAGGATGAAGGTACTTCATATTGTATATAAAGACTTAACAATGTGCCATATTTGGATCTGTAGCTATAGCAGAAGTACTCTTGCTGCGCCTTTTGGCTTCTTAATGAGGCTGATGTTTTTCCTGGCTCTCATGGTGGACTATCTTGGGTCTACCTTGGGTCTGCAGGAAATATGCAGTTGATTAAGAAAGAGGTGGAAGAAATCCCCTCATTCTCACTACTGTCCCATCAGTGCACATTGTGAGAGAGGAAAGAATGGTACACACTCAGTTGGACCAGATGTTTGAAGGGACATGGATGTGAAGTAAGGACCTGCTGCTCTTAGCAGTTCTGACACATCTTCCTGCATTGCTGAAAGTTAATGAGCTGAAGAGTTTGGGGATCTAAACTCTTTGGGCCAATGGTGTAGTGGTTAAGGCATCAGGCTAAAAAATCAGACCACCATAAATTCTAGCACCGCTTTAGACACAAAGCCTGTTGGGTGACTCTCAGCCATAGGAAGGAGGCAATGGCAAACCACTTCTGGACAACCTTGCCAAGAAAACTGCAGGGACTTGTGAATGAACGGGGTGGGAGTGGGGGGGAAACAACCTAGGACAGTTTGTTGTCTCATATGCCAAATATATAACAACGTGTTGTGTTAATTAGACTTCCCCTCAGGAATTTTGTACAATATTCTTACAAAGAGCCTTATCAATCATTTATAATGTTATATTGCAATTATCTGTAGAGTTTGAATTTAGATATTTTTAAAAATTACACTTTCAAAATATGAAATGTTTTAACTAACTTTAAAAAAAAAACTTTCAACCAAGACAAATCAGCTACAAAACTGTATTCTCTGGCAAGGTCTTAAAAATATAATTGCACATCTTTTTACTGATAATATCCTTACATCCTACCGTATTTCCCAAATATAAGACAGGGTCTTATTTTCCTTTGACCCCCCCCCCCCGAAATAAGCACTTGGCCTTATTTTGCAGGGAGGTCTTATTATTTTTTAGGTGCAGGAGGCGGCGAGCGTGGTCACTTAATGGCTGCTGCTGTGTTGCAGTATTTTGGGGAGGGCTTGTTTTTGGGGAAGGGTTTATTTTTTGGGGGGAGGGCTTATTTTAGCGCATGCGCTCAAAACCACAATTGAGCTTATTATCTGGGAAGGTCTTATTTTCAGAGAAACAGGGTACTTAATGCACTGAGATGTATTCGCTTATTTACGTAATAATTTTTATTTTATTTGACCTGCGTGGCTATTTTGGCCTGGGATACTTTAAATAAAAGGTTTCATGTGCTACCTTTTTTATTTGATTAGAAAAATGTTCAGATTTTGGTGGGGGGGAGTGTATCGCATTTTTTCCACCTCTGAATGGAACTTTGTTAAAAGTGTTCCACTATATCTGGTAGGCTTTACTCCAGGATAAGATGCTTGTTTTTTCAGCCTTCAGTGTAATCTTTAAATTTTACTATTCACAGTTATGTGTTCTCTTTATTGAAGTTAATATTCAAATAATTATGAATTCTGCTGTTGTTACTAATTATGATAAATGGGATCATTGTTTATCCTTCGGTGCCAGGGAGTTGTTGTGTGTAGTGAGTTTCTGTGTTTCAGTCCTGTAAATCACCCAGAATTACTTGTGTGAGAAGTATGGGTATATAAATTATAGATTTAAAGAAATAAAGTTATTGTTTTCATATTTAATGTTTATTTTGAATAAAAATCAGATTGTGTGGGCAAAAGACTTTCACTGTGCTTTTGGTTTAAACATAAAGTACAGATGTGTTGTGTGGATTGAAATCAGGTTATGTTTCAAATTGAATATACTTTCAAAGTTATGGGCTTAAACATCATAAGAAATGAAAATAGTCCCTCTTGGGAAGAAGGTAGGACCAGCAGGATCTAGCTTACAGTCCTTAAGGATTCTAGTTATTTATGGCTAAAATGAAAAAAAAATATTTGCAGATTATATACGTATTAGACACCTATATTACTACTTTGCTCAATATTTACCATGTACTCGATAGACTCTGTTAGCCACCAATTTGTATGATTGCAAAATTGCTGAATTTTATGGATCAATATCTTGTGGATCCCTCTTTTGCAAATATGCTCACTGAACATTTTCATTGCAAGCACAACTACCTCATTTGTAATATACAATTGTCCTAGTAGATTGGTTAATCTGTTCGTTTTCTATATTTTCAAACACAGAGTTCGTTGGTTTACATTGGTTAAGAATATAAAGTGGTTTGTTTGGCTTGATTTTGATGTCTTTTCTGAATCTAGATATTGCTGTTTGTGAGTTACCATTAGTGATTTGCAGTGCTGCATGTACAAAGCCATTTGTGGTTTATTCAAACCATGATTAAATTCCCTATGCTTACCATAGTATGTGGATCTCTTCATGGCAGCTGATATATAACACAAGCTTGAATCAAGTTAAAAACAACTGCTTCAAAATTTAATTCAGTGTGCAGGATAATTGTGGGATAATTGTTGATTACTAAACTTGATAATTAGTTATTGCTGGGAATCTCATGTTTTCAAAACTTCATAACATGAAACGGTTCTTTTTTTAAATAAAACTTAGTGCTGTGTGTGCCAGCTCTGCTAAATACTCTCAGAATAAAGTAATTAATGTAACTAGTATCAATCAATACCTGCTTCACAACAGCTTTTCTCCCAGTATTACAATTAATACCTATAGGTTAAAAATTTTCATCAAGTGTTTTTATTAAGAGTGTAATGTTAGGATTGGATTCTTTTTTTAGGGTTAAAGGCTAAGTTCTCTTGGACAATGAAGTAGTTGTGTAGCATTCAATTTTGTCCCAAACTCTAAATGGACAAAATATACTTTTTTTCCTCTTCCTTTCTGTCTCTCATCTATTGATTATCCTATTGATGATTTCATTCTCAAATTAAGCTAAGGTTAATTTAAAAGCAGTTATATTTTTAGTTTTAATGTTTTTATTCACAATCATATTTATATAAGCTTGCCCCACCTATCTTCTAGCATGCAAACTCTGATTCAATTGGAAATATCCTCCTCCATAGAAGTAAATTTCTCACTCCTAGATTAGAAATTATTCTGTAAATGTATGGATCAAGAAAACTATAATTTATTCAGTTATTTTAAGATATTTTTTAACCTTGTGTCCCAAAGGTGCTTCTTCAGGAGGCAACTGGATTTTCTTGGGTTTTTTTTTCTTTGAAGACGTTTCGCTTCTTATCCAAGAAGCTTCTTCAGCTCTGACAGGGTAGTGGGGAATAGAAAGATTTATATTCCTTGCAGACAGCTGGTAATTTGCATCCTTTTAGAGGGTTGTTGAAGCACTTGGAACACTTTTTCTGTGTCCTCAGGGTCACTGGAGTAGTGCTCCTGGTTCCTGTAGTCTGCAATTTTTCCTCTGGAAATTCATTCATACTCCCACACCATTCAAAGAATGTTCATCCCAAATTGTTTAGCTATACATATTTAGCTATAGTGGTGGAATTCAAAAATTTTTCCTACCGGTTCTGTGGTCGTGGCTTGGCGGGCATGGCAGGGGAAGGATACTGCAAAATCCCCATTCCCTCCCGATCAGCTGGGACATGGGAAGCAGAGTATAGATGGGGGCAGGGGCAGTCAGAGGTGGTGTTTACCGGTTCTCCGAACTACTCAAAATTTCTGCTACTGGTTCTCCAGGACTGGTCAGAACCTGCTGAATACCACCACTGATGGTGTGGGAGTATGAATGAATTTCCAGAGGAAAAATTGCAGACTACAGGAACCAGGAGCACTACTCGGGTGACGCTGAGGACACAGATAAAGTGTTCCAAGTGCTTCAAAGCCCCTCTAAAAGGATGCAAATGATCAGCTGTCTGCAAGGAATATCAATCCTTCTATTCCCCACTATCCTGTCACTATCCTGTCAGAAACTTCTTGGATGAGAAGCGGAACATCTTCAAAGAAAAAAAAACCCAAGAAAGTCCAGTTGCCTCCTGAAAAAGCACCTTTGGGACAACCATGACTGGTTGTCTTTGACAGACTTTGAGCCTTGTGTTTTATTTTGATAAGATTGTTGAAGTACTGAAAGAAGAGGCATTTCTCTTAAACAATTAGAAAAACACTTTAATCTAGCTTTTGGATAGCAAAATCTTGAAAATCCATCGATATAATGCCTACCTCTTCTTCAGCAGTTGTCAGAGCAAACCCTTCTTCATAAAATGGCAAGCTGCTTATGATGTAGTAGCAATGTTTACACAATTTGAATTATGTCTCCCCCCCCCTCTTTTTTTTTAATCTCTTGGGGAGATGAACCATTTGAAGATGTATCTTCTGTGAAGCGTAACATTTCACTGGGGGTGGGTGGGAAGAGGGGAAAGTATTTTAATGACTTTAATGGGAGTCATTTTCTGCAGGCATCTCTGGCATTCCTCTGCAAAAGGAAGAATAAAGGCTCAGCACCATATATGGTGACACTTTTATTATTATTTTTTAAAATATAAACATGCACAGGCTGAAACAATCCAAGAGGGTTGATTATACTGCTTGATGGGGGAGGGAAAAGAAGGAGCAGGGAAAAGAGACCCTGCTTTTAATGCCTTGGTGCGAGGAAAGTTAAAAGCTTGGTCTTGTATAAACAAAGACTGGGACAAGGATTGGAAAGTGTGTAGATGTTGTAAAGAGAGTCTTTTTCTTCCAACCCACCCTCTTCGGCTACTTTTCTTCAAGTTACTTGTGTAGGGGTATATTCTCTTCTGATTTCTACCTGTGGCTTTATTTTGAGGGGAAAAGTTTGGGGTGGGTGGAATAATGTTTCTTTCTAGCCAATGATGAAGTAGTTATCTACTACTGTGATGCTTGGCTGGGGAACATTAAAAAAATCGGCATAGTGAAGGATTGATCTCTTCTGTGTACTATCTAACAGAAAGCAACTTTTATTTTTGGCTGAGTCTCAGTTTCTGGTACTTTTTCAGAAACACTGTTGGAGAATGCAACTGTCAGGTATCTTTGACGCTGGGAGAAAGTTCATTTTCCAAAGAAGGAATGCAAAAAAAGTGAGTACCGTTCCCAGGGACTTTTGTGGGTGGGTTTTATTTTTTGCTCGGCTAATTCTCTTTCCTTATAGACTTGGGCTGGCTGCTGTTCAATCTAATCCCCAAATGTGACCCAACAAGCTGTTTTTATCATACAGCTGACAATGTGGAGCACTTTTTAAAAACTTTAGTTCCCTTATATGGTTCCTGAAGTCATCATTGATGCAATAAACTATTCCTCTAATCAGCCTTCCCTTCTATAAACATATTTTGTCCTTTCTCTGAGGGGGTGATTCCTGAATTTGTTAAACCAGCTCTTTGCTCCCCCTCTTTCTCTTTTCCCGCCCCTTCCTCTCTCCCTCTCAAACCCTTCTCTGCTTACAGTGGGAGGCAGAAAGTACGACAAGAGGCTGATTGTGGAGAGGATGCACTGACATTCAGAAACATCAGTGGCTCCTTCAGGAGGAATACTGGGGAAGGCCAGCAAGTGGAGGAAGATCAGGAAAGTGTCCGTGGAGTACTTAAAAGACGAGTAGAAACCCGAGAGAGCACAGAGGAGAAGCTAAGGCAACAGGAGGCTGAGCAGATTGACTTCCGGGACATTTTGGCAAAGAAAGTTAATACCAAAAGTTTTTCTGAGGAGGAGTTGAAGGAAATCCCAGCCAAACAAATGGACTTCCGTGGTACCCTGCAACGGCAGGTCAAGCCGAAAACCTTGTCAGAAGATGAAAGGAAGGTCCATGCTCCACAACAGGTAGACTTCCGTGGAGTATTGGCAAAAAAGGGTACTCCCAAACCTTCCTTGCCAGACAAAGCAGTGAGTTCAAAGCCAAGCACCCCAGATTTTAGATCTGTGCTTGCTGCAAAGAAAAAAACACCAACTGAGAACGGTGGCCCTGGGACTCAAGTCCAGAACGTGATTGCCAACTCTGAAGTACAGAAATCTAGTGCCAGCAATAAAGTGCCAAACATCAGCATCACCTCTAAAAATCCTGTGACATCCAAGAAATTGGACACTGTCAATGCTACTTCTAAACTACCAGAGACCAGCACTGTTTCAGAGTCCCAGGATACCAGCTCTAGATATAAAATACAGAATGCCAGCACCAAGAATGAAAACCAAGTTACTAACTCCAGCTCTGAAATGTCGCATGTTAAATCAAGGGAGAAAGAGAATAAGAATGACAATAATTGCAAAGGTGACTGCCCAGCAGAAGTAGATGGGCGGATAAGTGAAGATAAAGGAAAAGATAACAAAAAAGAGCCTGAGGGAATAGCACCAACCTTTACTGAAAAGCTGCAGGATACCAAAGTAGTAGAAGGTGAAAAGCTGGTCTTGCAATGTCAGGTTTCCTCAGATCCACCTGCTACTATCATCTGGACTCTGGATGGCAAAGTCATCAAATCATCAAAATTTATTGTTCTCTCCCATCAAGGTAAATTGATGTAAACAGCAAGGCAACCCCACTGCATGCTGCTGCTGCTTACAGTAACCTACTTTGATTTCATTATGTTTAACTATAATATCTCACTCTAATTTTGTTTACTTCTGTCCCTTAAAATCAAAATTTGCCAGTATTTCTTCTGCAGGGAGCAAAGAATAGTCTTTTTAAAATGTTTCCTACAACTTCAGAAACATCAGCCACATTTTTGTTACAACAATATCTTTAAATTCAGGTTTATGTTTTATATAAACATAAACTTCAGATGAGGAACTCCGTCAGAGCAATTGGATCCTTTCATTTTCAGTATCTAAATCCTGGCATAATTACCATATTAAATAAAAATTTTGCCTTTGTGCTGAAATTGAAACAGCAATAACCAATAGCTTTGGGATTTACATTGTTTAAACATGTTCTTCAGTCCAGAATTATCTGAGACAAAATATAGGAAAATTAATTCCTAATTTGCTCAGGTTAAATATTAATTCACACTGATATTATTTGATAATTTAGTTTCTATTACTTTACAAGGATATTAGAATTCAATAATACCGGTATTTAAACAATAAGCATATGCTAATTTCTTCAAACCTAAAGATTAAATTATAATATAAAAGTTATCCAACCAGGTTCTAATCGCAGAAGTCAGAACATCCTTTGCCAAATATTAGACCAACCTTTACTTGGTCTAATGGGAAACCCCTGGAAATTCCGGGGTTGCTAAAGAGCATGGTGGCTGGCAATTTTGGAAGTTATAGTCCCAACCATTTGAAAGGCCCAGGCTGAAGAAGGCTGAATTAAGACCCCCTTTTACATATACATTTTACATACATTGTAAGGAGAAAGTGAATGCTTATGATGTAAAATAATTCTAGTTGTATTTCTTTTTCTTGTCTTCCCTGTTTAACTTTTTTACTTAAATATATCTTACTCTTTCTCTGGCCTTTACATAACATGATCAACTTGAAGAAAGTAATGTAAAGGCTGTGTATATATCCAGAGGGAGAGAGAGAGAGAAAGAGAAATGACTGTATTGCCTCAAAAGGCATATACAAGCTTTTGAAGGTAGCTTTTTCTTCCCAGGAACCTATTGCACTACATTTGTTGCTGAGTCGTAACACTTTTGTCATCCCTCCACATTAGGTATGCTGGCTGCTGGGAATTATAGTTTAATACCATTGAACAACCACAGATTCCCCATATTAGACACAGTTCCAGCTTAATGATTAGGGTAGTTTTGGGGGAAAATAAGATCAAGTGGGGATGGTTCCTTTTTCCATTGGTCTCTGTCCTCCCAGTACCATCACAGTTAGCTGGTTGCCAGAGAAGTTGTAGTCAGATGAGTAGCACTGGGTTTGATTGATCCTGTTAGGGCCACTCATGGGCCCATCCATTCTGTACCAACAGTACAGTGAACAATCACATAGCAGAAACCTGGAGGAGGTGGAGAAATGGAGCCACAGCCAAATGAGAGGTGGGGCCTTTAGAGGGTATGAATCTTCAAAACTACTTAGACCACCATGTTGACTTCAACATTTCATGATTAAATAAGCCATGGATTAGAGCAGGGTATGAATTAGATACGGGGTTTGATGTGATGAAATAAGTTATTAATATTACAGCAAATAATTTTCTCATTACTGTACTTGTACCTGTTTCTGTCAGTTAACAGGAAGAAAAGGCAGAGATTCTATCTAAAGGGTCGTATAGCAATAAGCTAGTTCTCATTCATCTATGCATAGTTTGATGATAACAATTCTCTAAAAAATATGAATTACCCATAAAGTTCAATAGTTGTACAGGAGAATTGTGATGTTAATGGAGTTCTTAACTGTAATAATATTTTATTTTATTTATTTTACTAAATCTGTATATTCAATTCACCTAGTTTTCACATAAATGTGAAATCTAAGATTTGCTACTTCAGACTGCAATGTTGTGTATCATAGGATGGAATGCTGCTCTATAAAAACATTTTTCCTAGTAGATATTAGAAATGAGCCTAATTATGTTTCTGACATAGTCTTTGCCTCTTATTTTTGTGCTTCCAAACATATCTTCAAGTCAATCTTGATTCCTAGCAATGGAAGAGGACTTTAGTTCATAGTCTCCTGCTTTCTATCTTGGTGCCTTTAACAACTACTGCACCCCCAATTTGCCTTCCCTTCTATCATATGTTAGGCCAAAGATTTAGGGAGGACTAGGCCTTGGGCTTTTTTTAGGCAACTCTGTACCTATATTGCTTCATTCACTGTGTGCACCAAATTACCAAGCTGTTGGCTATGATATTTGTAGGCTATCTTTCAAGGAACCTTTGAATATGTTACAAAAACCGCTGCAGAGAAAGTGATAGAAATCATGGATCCCAGCGTCTTAAACTCCCAATCTTTCTAAAATTAAAACACATATACAGCAGAACTCAGAAGAGTCCAGTCAAAGAGGGTAGAGTAAATTTTCTCCTGGTTTGCAACTGCATTCAGTGCTTGAAGGCTTCAATGACTGAAAGCCAATCTATTGCCTAGAGTAGACAGTCAGTGAATTGCACCTAACATACGTATGGCAGTGGGATTTGAGATACTGCCATTCCTAAAAGCTGATATGGAAATAACTAAATGTTTAATGATTGCTATTTCTTTTGTGTTGTTGTGCCCTGCATTTCAGAGACCTTGTTTATGACATACATAAAAATATACTGTGAACAGATTTGTCTAACTCGAATTTCTATACTGGTTTACAACAGCTTGAAAATCCTGATTTGTTAGTCCTAAAAGCTTGAGTCTTTAAAAATAAATAAACACTAAAAATGATGGCTAAATTAATTTTCTATAACTAGATTTTTACATATATCCTTTACTTGTTCTTGCATATGTACTTTGAATAATCAATTAAATTTACAGTGAACATTAATTTTAATTCCTATGAAGAACAGAGAATCTACCCAATAAAAGATATAATCTCCCACTCTTAAACTTTCAGCTGATCAATTACTATTAATAGCAATTTAATAATTTTTTTCATTAAAGCATTGTTTCCTATCATTATAAACTAAGACATTTCTCCTGCTCAAATTTCTGAAGAATTTCTCTTCTGCTAATCTGATTTGAATAAAGTATCAGTACATCAGAGGTGGTATTCTTCCAGTTCGCGCCAGTTCATGTGAACCGGTAGTGGCAGCTGCGCGAGGCTCCGCCCACCCACCCAGACGTCATCATGGACCTTCGGTGCATGAGCAGATGTTTCTGCGCATGCCCAGACATGCGCGCCAAACCGGTAGTGAAGAAAATAGGATACCATTACGACAGTACATATTTCTAAAATAAAGAGATCCTGATTTATTTTTCTTTATATATTATTATTGTCACCATATTAATCCCTCAATTTAATAAGTCCCTTAACAAAAGGGAACTTTTGAATATTTTGAATTTATAGTTTAGGGAGAGCAAATGGGATCCAGATCAATGATTTATTGAATAATTCAATTTAGGGCCATTCCTCTTGTTTTTAAGTATGCAGGGGTTGTCATAATTTTGTATATTTGATGCAGTCTATGTAACACCATTGTCTATTGTTTGAGCCATGTTATTCTTAAAAACCATAAATTTGCTTAGGTTGAATTGGGATTCACTTCATGCAATAGAAAAAAACAGTAACATATTTATTTGACCATGCTAGGAAGTCATAATTCTTCCACTGGTTTTATCTATTTACTTACCATATGCATATGTGGAGGCATGCATAAAAGGCAATAACTGAATTCGTTTTGATAACTATATTAATCCATCAATTTATATCCTTGTTCTTACTATATTCTTTTCTTTTCTCAGAGTCATTCATTTGGCTCTGCTACTCTGCTAGTTTTTGCTCTGTTACAGATCAGAATACAAAAAGTATTAGTTTCTACTTAGATGACCTTTTTAATTTAAACAAATATTATGCCTGAAGTAAGAATATAGTTTAGTAACTTTAAGACATCAATAATAGCATAAGGAATCCTGATTAAATGCAGAGGAGTAAAGACATAATTCTACAATTTTTACCCAATTATTTAGCCAAAAAAGGCAGCTTATAATCAGATAACCCTGGACTTAAACTAACGCTCTAAAAATATAAGGAAAATGGAATGGAATGGTGAGGGAGGGACTGGATGGTAATTTCAAGAACTACATTCTGGTAGGAAATTTTTGATTCTCAGCATTGATCCAGCCAGCTCTCCACTGATTAACAGTGGCTCTCCAGGATAGGACTGCTTCCCAGTTCCTATACAGCAGTGTTTCTCAATCTTGGAAACTTTAAGACTTGTGGACTTCAACTTGCAGAATTCCCCAGCCAACATGGCTGGCTGGAAAATTCTGGGAGTTGAAGTCCTCAGGTCTTAAAGTTGCTAAGGTCGAGAAACGCTGCTATACAGGGTTGTCAGAATTTGAATTTGGTACAGTAATGCAAATAAACCAAAATCCATTATTACATCCCGCTACTTAAATTTGGTATAGGAAAAGAAAGAAAGTACAGGTAGTCCTTGACTTATGACCAAAGTTAGGACTGGAAATCCAATTGTAAGTCATTGCAGTTGCAAGTCAAGGCATCCACACAATCAGATTCATTTTTTCAACATTTGTGCTGCAATTGTTTAGCGAATCACCATGGTCATTAAGCAAAAACATTTTTCAGAATTGGTGTTTTTTGTTGTTGTTTTGTTCTGCCGAAAATCAGCAAAAAAAGAGCACAAGCCAGTTTCCAAGTCCGTGAAATGAGATCACATGACTGCGGGGGGGACATTTTCTGATGGACAGAAGGGATTTATGGGCTGTAAAGTACCTGCTCTGAGGCTATCGTAACTCCAAGTATAAAACAACCAGTCATACGTTGAGGATTTCCTATACACTCAAGTTATATAACTATTCTTTCAATCTGTAGCAACTCTCAATAAACTTTGCATTTAATCCTGACCTCAGCTATTGAAAAGTCTGGTGTAGTAGGGAGAGGATAAAGTAATG